CCCATAGTCTCCATTGCAGGCAGCATTTTCTTTTAGGCAGAATATAATTTTGATCAATCGCCAGAAAAGAACATCATGTGTGGTGAAGTAGAGGGCCAACAAACACAAGGGAAATGCTCCGGGAGATGGGTTGACCATAGCTGCAACAATGAGCTCAGACACACCAAAGATCATGATAGTGGCGCAGGCCTGGGCAACATTTGTTCTGTTGGACGTGGGGTCACCATGAGTTGGAGCCGACTCAGTGCCAACCAACAGCAGCAATATGTCTGTGAGGACTTTTTGAGGTCACCTCTTGGAGAAGTGAAGTCTTGCTTCTATATTGCCATAACTACCATCATTTACCTGGATACCCGTCCCACTGTCTCGTGAGCAGGTTCCATTGGCGGATTTGATGTGTAAGGTATGCATTCAGCAGCAGTGGAAGGTCAGAATGGCAAAATGTACAGCATCAAAACCTGGGGCCCATTTCTGGGCCCAGTTGCACCTTGGTGGCAAGCAAATAGCAGTCCTGAGCATGTTAGCAACTGACTAGATTCACCTTGTAACAGATGTGATTTGATAAGGGGAATACCTTGGAGAAATGAGCAAGTGCTAATTGAGGGGCAGCAGGGTGGATTGGGAGCTCTGGTGGTATAGTGCCTAAGGCACTTGACTGCTAACCACAAGGCTGGCGGTTCAAACCCACCAGCCAGTCCTTGGAAGGAAGGTTGGGCAATCTACTTCCATACTGATACGGCCTCAGAAAACCAAGGAGGGGTCGCTACCCAACTCAAGGGCAGTTGAGTTTTGAGGGTGGATTACTTTCCCTTTCTCCAGCAAGAACTTGGGGTGGGAGGGACCATAAAATAGGACTGTCCATGCTTGGGAGGGCATGGTAAGGATAAAAGGGCCTCTTCAGCCACAGTTGGGCTATTGCTATAGCCTGGCAATAGCCGGCATTTTCTGTATAAGTGACGCTTCCTCTCTTTCCCCTTCCTCCTCTGTTGATCACACTTGCTCCAAGAAACAAACATCTTTGACATTCTTTGTGTAGTTTAAATAATGAAAACAATACATTCTCTCCAGTCTCTAAATATAAAACCAGATCATTCTGTACTTTTTCTGGAGTCCCTGGTGGTGCAGACAGTGTGCTTGGCTACTAACTGAGAGGTTGGAGGTTTGAGCCCACCCAGAGACACCTCAGAAGAAAGGCCTGGCAATCTACCTCTGAAAAATCAGCCATTGAAAACTCAGTGGAGCACAGTTGTACTCTGACACACATGCGGTCACCATGAGTCGGAGAGATGTGTTAAAGAGTATGTTGTTGTCGTTGTTGTTGTGTGCCATCGAGTCGGACCCGACTCATAACGACCCCTCCTTGGGTTTCCGAGGCAGTATCACTACAGAAGTAGATTGCCCAACCTTCCTTCTGAGGAGTGGCTGGTGGGTTTGAACCACCAGCCTTCTGGTTAGCAGTCAAGTGCCTTAGGCACTCACTACGATACCAGAGCTCCCGTTAAAGACTATGGAGAATATCAATAACTGTATGTATGTCTGCTCTGAAAAAGAAATGAGGCCTCACTCTCTTATAAAAGAAAAAAGATTTTGCAGGAATGATGACAGACATGGACTCTAGAGCCTAAACCTAGCACTGCCACTTAAAAGCTGTGTGTCTTTGGACAAATTACTTCACTTCTCTGTGCCTCAATTTTCTCCTCTATAAAAATCATAGTACCCCCATAACATTATAGGTAATAAATGGGTTTATGTATTTATAATGTTCTGAGCAATGTCTGTAGTTAATAAATGTTTAAATGTTAGCAATTATTAACTAGTTGCCTTTTAGTCAATTCTAGCAATTACCATTAATTAGCTGCTTTTGTCTTTATTTTTTTTACTTTTATGGTGATGGAAATATACACAACAAGACATTCACCAACATAACAACTTCCCCATTTACAGCTCAGGGACACTGATGACATTTTTCACGTTGTGCCACCATTGTTGCTGTCCTTTTCCAAAATATTCCACCACCATTAGCATAAGCTCAGTGCCCCACAAACAAAAGCTTCCCCTTCCCCCCTCCCTCCTACCCCTGGTAATCAGTAATAATCTTTGATTTCTCTCTCTTGGGTTTCCAAGGCAGTGTCACTATAGAAGTAGATTGCTCAGTCTTCCTTCTGAGGAATGGCTGGTGGTTTTGAAATGCCAGTCAAATGCCTTAGGCACTACACCACCAGAACTCCTGTTTTTGTTTTGGTTATCTAGGAATTTAGCCTCCCCTTCCATCCCTGGTAACCAACAAAGAAAGTTTCCTTCTATGTATAAACCTTTCCTTGACTTTTTACAATAGTGGGCTAATAAAATATTTGTCGTTCTGTGATTGATTTCACTCAGCATAATGTCCTTCAAGTTAATCCACATTATGCATTCTTTTGCAGATTCTACATTGTTCTTTAGGGTTGCATGGTATTCCATGGTGTGTACGGACCACAGTTTGTTTATCCATTCCTTGGTTGATGGGCACTTAGGTTGTTTCCATCTCTTTGCTATGGTGAATAGTGCTGCAATAGACATGGCTGTGCATGTATCTGTTCGTGCCCTGCCTCTCACTTCTTTAGGATATATCACTTAGTAACGGGATTGCAGGATCAAATGGTACTTCTGTTTCCAACTTTTTAAGGAATTGCCATACCGATTTCCACGGTGGTTGTATCATTTGACAGTCCCACCAGCAGTATATGAGAGTCCCAATCTCTCCACAGCCTTGACAGCATTTGTTATTTTCTGTCCTGTTGAACTTTGCTGTTAGTGCTGGGGCAAGATGGTATCTCATTGTTGTTTTGATTTGCATCTCTCTATGATTACGAACATTTCTTCATATGTTTGTTGGCTGCCTGAATAACTTCTTTGGTGAAGTGTTTACTCATGTCTTCTGCCCATTTTTTATTCAGATTGTTTATCTTTTTGATGTTGAGGTGTTGGAGTTTTCTGTAAATTTTAGAATTAAGTCCTTTGTCCGATATGTCATTGCCAAATATTTTTTCCCATTCTGTAGGGTTTTTTTTTTTTTTTTTTTTTTTTTTTTTTTTTTTTTTTTTTCACTCTTTTGGAGAAGTCTTTTGATGCACATAAGAATTCAATTTTTAGAAGGTCCCAATCATGTAATTTATCTTCTGCTGTTTGTACATGTTGGGTTATGCTTGATAATCTATTTATGGCATAAATTAGGGCCCCTAAGTTTGTCCCTGTTTTTTCTTTGATGAACTTAATAGTTTTAGGTTTCACATTGAGGTCTTTGATCCATCTGGAGTTAGTTTTTGTTTTTGTGTGTGGTGTGAGGTATATGGATCTTGTTTGATTTTTTCTGCAGGTGGATATCCAGTTTTGCCAGCACCATTTGTGAAAGAGGTGGTCTCTTTCCTGTTGCATGGATTTTGGCCTGTTGTCAAAGATCAGCTGACCATAGATCGATGGATCTATTTCTGGGTCCTCAATTCTGTTCCACTGGTCTATATGTCTGTTGTTGTATCAATACCAGGCTGTTTTGACAGCTGTGGCTGTATAGTACGTTTTGAGATCTGGCAGTGTGAGACCTCCTACTTTGTTCTTCTTTAGTAGTGCTTTGCTTATCCGAGGTCTCTTTCCTTTCCATATAAAATTAGTGATTGGTTTTTCCATGTCCTTAAAGAACATTGATGAGATCTGGATTGGGACTGCATTGAATGTATAGATTGCTTTGGGTAGTATTGACGTTTTCACAATGTTCAATCTTCCTATCCACAAGTTAGTATGTTCTTCTGTTTATGTAGGTCTCTTACAGTTTCTTGAAGTAGTGTTTTGTAGTTTTCTTTGCATAGGTCTTTTGTGTTCCTTGTAAGATTTATTCCCAAGTATCTTGTCTTTTTGGTAGCTATTGTAAATGGTATTAATTTCTTTAGTTTCTTTTCAGAGACCTCTTTGCCCTCTGAACTTGATTTTTTCTGCATCCATACAGTAAGGAGGTTGAACTATTTGGTGGTTCTCCACCATGGTAGAACACCAGAACCACCTAGGGAGCTTTTCAAAATACTGATGCCTAGGCCCCAACATAGCCCAGTTGAAACAGTCTCTAGGAAGAAGGCCTGGAGGTCTACATTCTTAAAAAGCTTCCTGTATGATTCTTAGGAGCTCTGGTGGTACAGTGGGTAAGGCATTTGGCTGCTAACCACACGGTCGGCAATTCAAAGCCTACCAGCTGCTCTGTGGGAGGAAGATAAGGCAATCTGTTCCCATAAAGATTTACAGCCTTGGAAACCCAATGGAGGTCACTATGAGTCAGAATCAACTCACTGGCAGTGGGTTTGGATATGATTTCTGGGGCACAGTTGTGGTACGAACAAGGTTAATAGATAGATGGTCCTGAGATCTCTCCAGCTTGGAAGTTGGCGTATGTGTTTCACTTGGGAGGAGTTAACGCTCCCTTTCCATTCTCAGTGCACTGATGTTAGTTTCCATTGAGTGGGCTGCAACTCAGTAAAATGTCATGTGGTCCTGCATCTCGTCCTGATTGTTGGTGTGTTAGAGTCTGTTGTGGTAGCCATTGTGTCAGTCTGTCTCATCAAAGGTTTCCCTCACCTTTGCCACCCCTCCACTTTACCAATTGTGGTGTCCTTTTCTAGCGATTGGTATTTCTTGATGACATGTCCAAAATAAGCAAGTAGAACTCTCCCCAATTTGATTTCTAAGGAACATTCTGGTTGTATTTCTTCTAAGACTGATTTGTTCATTTTCCTGGCAGTCCAAAATACATTAGTCTTGGCCAACACCACAAGTGAAATGCATACATACTTCTGTCTTCCTTTTACCCTGTCCATCTTTCACATGCATAGAAGGGGATTGAAAAGAACGTGACTTGGGTCAGGCACACCTTAGTCATCAAAGTGGTGACATCTTTGCTTTTTAAAACTTTAATGAGGTCTTTTGCAGCACTAATGAGAAGTGTGATTAAACTTTAATCTTTTTCTTTTCCCTCACAGGTCTTCCTTGACCTGCCCCCACTGGTTGAAACATTGCAACACCTTCGGTCCTTCCCGGTGTGTGTCACTACCCATCCCTTTACGCCAGACCAGGTATGTGGGTGTCCCAGTGTTCCCAGAGGGCATGACTTCATCTGTGCTTATTACTGGGAACCTTCCGGCCTCTGCACTGCTCTCCCTTTTGCTTCTCAGCCAGCATTTCTCTAGAAATCAGTCTTGTAGCTGAGTAACGTTGAGTTGTCCGATGTGACAATTAAAGTGGAATGTTACTGTGTCCCTTCACTAGCTGAGCAAGGAAATGTAAACAGAATGCTTTTGTTTATCAGCACAGTTGCCAGGCTTTTGTTTTTGACCCATTCAGAAGCTGGTACCGGCCAATTAGGAACACTTGGTCAGATGTGCAAACCAGAGACAATCTGTCACCATGCATTTTCCCTGCTGTATTTTTAAATCTTTTTTCTTTGTGGAGGTGTAGTAAACAAGCTACACTAAGGAGCAAAGAGAAAAAGAAAGGGGTTGTTGGGGAGGATAAGGGAACAGAAAAGAGGAGGTAACGCTGGATAAGAGATGTGGGGGGCTTGAGTCTATAAAAGTAAGGAGCATGCAGAAGCCCAAGTCTTAGCATTGGCTATCAAGGCAACTGGCCACTGTCAGTGTCATGAAATTCTAGTGAGCTCCTATCCCATGTTGAGTACCTTCACTGGCATTACGACGGAGGCATTTGTTCTTTCTGCCAGTCGTCTGGCAGTTTGTTAGAGTGTGGTGTCTTGCTTGCTGGCTAGGATGCTAGAAGCTAGGCTACTCGTATTTCAAATACCAGTAGGGTCGCCTGTGGTGGAGAGGTTTAAGTAGTGCTTCCCAGTGAGAACAGACTGGGAGGAAAGGCCTGGTGGTCTGAAAATCAGACAGTGAAAACCCTGTGGATCAGAAGAGAATAGTGTCTGATGAAACTCAGACAGGCCAGTGATCATGAATGTGGTGCCGGACCAAGCAGTGTTCTGTTCTGTTGCACATAGTGTTGCCATGAGTCGCATGTCAGCTCAGAACATTTCTTCTTTGCCTTGGGATACAGATCCAGAACCCTGGAGACGGTGGCTAATTGGCTTCTTTGCTTACTGTGACTCCACTTCTATTCCCCTCTCTCTTTCACCGTCCTCTGTTGCGGTCAGGCTTGTGACCTTCACTTCTGTCCTGCATAGCTTGGTTTCCAGGTGACTTTCCCTGTTATTGGAGGTGTGTCCCATCTCCATCAATACCATTTCTCTTGTTCTCTGCCCATTGGCATCCTGCATTTTTAAGATACAGCTGAAGACGTGACATCTTCATAAAGCTTTCCTAACCGTTTCAGCTCTGAAGTCCTAGGCTGCACCGCATGCATAACATTGCTTTATACTGTCCCCATCATGACCATCATCAGATGATGTCTACTGATCAGTATGTCCTAGGAGTCCTGCCTTGATGCAGCATAGCACAGTGGTTAGGTGCACTGGCTGTGGAGCCAGACTGCCTGTGTCGAAATCCCAGCCCTACTGATTAGCTGTATGATTTGTACAATTTTGTAACCTTTTTGTGCCTCAGTTTCCTCATCCCATTTCAGAGGGTTGGGGTGAGGATAAAATGAGTGTATCTAAAGTCCTTGGAAGAAAGATGGGGCAATCTACTTCCATAGTGATACTGCCTCAGAAACCCAAGGAAGGGTCGCTATGAGTCAAGTCTGAGTCGATGGCACATAACAACAAAGTGTTTGGAACAGAACCTTCTTAGCACTGTGCAGAATAGGAGATGCAGTAACTGGCAGAGTGAGCCTTGGTGTGCGGGCCAGGATGGTAGGGAATGGAACTAGCGAAAGTGTCCAGAGCTGTTGGGGGCAAAATGGCTGTGTTGTACTATTGTTATGTGCTGTTGTGCTGATTCTTGACTTGTAGCGACCCCATGTGACAGTAGAACTGCCCCATAAAGTTCCCCAGGTTGTAATCTTCATGGACACTGACAGTCAAGTCTTTTCCCCTTGAAGGCATTGGGTGGATTCAAACCACCGATCTTTTAATTAGCAGCTGGGTGCTTAACCATTATACCACCAGGGCTCACTACCCAGGTACAATTTCAATAAGAAGACCCTGATTAATAGTGTTGAATTGTACTAGAAAAAGCAACCTGACTTTACTTTTCAGACTTTGTTTGCTTTTGCTTAAGATTATCTATTTATCAAATAGATCCTTGAGATTCTAAATCTGTCTGATGATTCTTAATCAAATACCGGAAAGGCACACTCAGCTAACTCTGGGACATTTGGCTCTCTACTGCCACCTGGAGACAGTGTACCTAACATGCAGGTACCCGACCAGGAAGCTGAGAGCAGTAGTCTAGTGCTGAACTTGACCCAGTGTCAATGCTGCTGGTTTTGTGACAGTTCATGTTATCCCTTTAAGGATGTGGCTCTCTTCCTATTTTCCAGATTTTTGAGCGTCACCTTGGTCTTCCCGTCTGCGTTCCAGCGGTTCCTGCGGGTTGGCCTGGCTGTGCCGATCCTCGGCACAGTGGCAGCCCTGAGGAAGATGGTGGCAGAGGAAGGCAGCATCCCTGCAGATGAGGTGTGCTGGAATCACACTTCTGTGGGGCCTGGTCACTGCATGATGGGATTTGACTGGACCATCTAGGCTAATTGGTGATTCTAGGTGACTCCAGTGGGACTCTTGGGTTTCTGTTTGATTAGCCTCTGGTGTCTGTGATGGCTAGGCCTTGACCTCTCCCTGAATTACACAGAACAGCCAGAAAAGGACACTTTTTCTTCCAAGAAGATGATGATTATGATTGTAATCTTGCTAATAATAACTAACTCTCAGCAGTGCTTACTCTGTGTTAGGCACTGTTCTTTGAACTCTGTATGCATAATTTAATCCTCAGAGCCACCCTGTGAAATAGATTTCATGGTTATCCTCATTTGACCAATGAGACAAGAAGAGGCACTGAGAAGTTAAGTGACTTACCCAAGGTCACACAGCTAATAAGTAGCTGAGGCAAGATTTGGATGTAGTTGGTTTGATGTTGGAGCTACTGAGCTACTAGTCTATATTTTCACTTCTGAGAAAATAGACCAGGACCCTGAAGGGAGGGTAAAGGAAATATTAGGAACTTCTGAGGGAACTGAGGATGTTTAGCATGAGAGAGAAGACTTCAGAGAAGGTGCGATGGGATGTTCTACTTTTTTTAAAAAAAAAGGGGGGGGGGTCTTGGAAACAGGATGGATTCACTGTGACTTTGAAGGACAAACTCATAGCAGGTGCTGCTGTGCCCCCCCCCCACTATGGATGAGGGAGGAGTGATGGTGGTGAAAGGCAATAAGACATGATGACAGAAAGGTCCCTCAGTAGGGTTCTCATTGGGATTCAGTCACTTGGTAGCTTTCTGACTGTAGACAAAGTAAGTGATTGATCCCCTGTTTCTTTAATTATGAAAAGGAAATAGTCATTTCTCTGAATATCTCATGAAATATTTTTAAGTTAAAACTTTTTTACCTTTTTGTTAAGGTATAACACATACAATTAAGCTTAATAGATCTTAAAGTTATATTTGAACTTTCCCGTGTGTGTAGATGTGTGTTGAATTTTCACACCTGTATGCACTGTGCTGAATCACACCTTTCCCCCTCTATGTAACCACCATTGTTATCAAGCATTTCCATCATCTCAGCAGGCTCCTTCCTGCCCCAACCCTATCAATTCCTCTGACCTCTAGCATCACCTCCTAGAATCTTTATGTTGTTGTTGTTGTTATGTGCCGTCGAGTCGTACCCGACTCATAGAGACCCCTCCTTGGGTTTCCAAGGCAGTATCACTATGGAAGTAGATTGCCCCATCTTCCTTCCGAGGAGTGGCTGGTAGATTTGAACCGCCAGCCTTCTGGTTAGCAGTCAAGTGCCTTAGGCACTATGCTACCAGAGCTCCCAGAATCTTTATGGGGATCAAAAATATTTATATATCTAGAAAGTTCCTGGTTATAAATGTCCACTCACAAACAACTCCTGCTTGCCTTTTAATGTTATGTAAATTTGCACTTACATTGAAGTGATTGAACCAAGCCCTACTCCCAAGAAATTCTTCATCACAATCGCCTTCCCTGGCTGCATGTGCACCTTTTAAATCATTAAAAAGGCTTCCAGCCTTTTCTTGCACTAAAGTAAGGCTAAATAAGAACTGTATATACCTGTTCCAACTTGCCTACACATGTGAGTTAAAGACACACTTAGGAATGAATCTGGTTCATAACTGGGGAACTACCAAAACCAAAAAACCAAACTCACTGTCGTTGAGTCAGATCCGACTCATAGCGACCCCTTCTTGGGTTTCCGAGGCACTATCACTACAGAAGTAGATTGCCCAGTCTTCCTTCCGAGGAGTGGCTGGTGGGTTTGAACTGCCAGCCTTCTGGTTAGCTGTCAAATGCCTTAAGCAATACACTACCAGAGCTCTCCGGGGACTATTGTATTGCTTTTTAAACTGGAAAGTACTCTACAGGGATCTATTGAGAGAGAGAAAGTGAGACAGTGGGTGAGAGAGCTTGGGCAGTAATAAAAATAAAATGGCAGTAATAAAAGATCAAAATAAAGGTATTTGAGAGAAGTCAAGTTTAAATAATTGAGTAGAAGGACATTGAGGAATTTGAGAGGTATGATGTGTTTGTCGGAGTCCCCGGGTGATGCAAACGGTTAAGCGTAAAACACTCGACTACCAGCTGCAAGGTTGGTGGTTCATACCACCCAGAAGCCCCTTGGAAGACAGGTCTGGTGATGTGGTTCTTAAAGGTCATGGCCTAGAAAGCCCTGTGGAGCTGCTCTACTGTGCACACACGGGGCCACCGTGAGTCAGAGTAGACTCATTCCATGGTAGCTAACAACATGTGTTTGTTCAGGGAAATACCTGGCTGGAACTTAAAGTTTTATTTTCTTTAACTGACAAGTTTATTTCTCTATTAACTAGGATCACAGTGTCTCTCCCCTACGTTGATGCTCTTCCATTGTTGCAGTTGGCATGTCTTTGATCACTCTAATTGTTACACCTACTGTGTTTCATTACTAACAAGTAAACATTTAGCCAGAAACAAGAGGGAAAGGGCAAAGAGAGATGTGACTGCCAGTCACTTAGATTTCTTCTTTGTTAAGTCCTCTTTGAGAAATTGGGAGGGAAAATGATCCTTCTCATTCCAGGTGATCTTGGTTGAACTGCATCCCAGTGGCTTCCATCGGTCCTTCTTTGATGAAGATGACTTGAATACCATTGCAGAGGGAGATAATGTGTATGCTTTTCATGCTCCTTCATCCCCTGCCCAAGGGGAGCTCTCAGGTACAGTAGTGCTTTGCATCATTCTATTTGGATATTTTGAGTTATAAGTTTAACAGAGTAGTCATTGGGTGTAAGGTCTAAGACATTTGGTTTTAGTACATGGCTCTGTTATGGTTCTCCTCCCTCCCCCACAATATTTGGTGGAGAGATGATTGTATTAAAACTTATTCAGATAACACAGGAATTCTCAGACCTTCCAGATATCACCTGGGTGGCTTGTTAAAGCAGATTGCTGGACTCTACCCATAGAGTTTCTGGTTTGATGCATCTGGCATGGGGTTAAAATATTTGCGTGTGTAACAAGTTCCCAGATGATGCTGAGGGTCCTTGGGACCACAATTTAAGAATCACTGTTCGGTGTAGGTGCTGGGCAGTGTTTGTCGTCAGTGCTTTGAATACAATTTTTATCAATTTGATTAGTAGATACAGAAGTACAAGTTCAATGACTTTTTGCTAACAGTTCTCTTCCAAATGGCTACTTTCCCTAAACTTTAGCTAAAATGATCCATTCCTGACTGTATCTCCTTCCTGATGAGTATACATTGTTTGGACCAGTTACAGTGAGGGGGCCCCAGTGTTATCAAATGCCCCGGATGAGTCCTATGTCCTGGTCCTGTACTCTCAGGCAGCCAGGTGACAGGCTTGGGGACTGGAGGTCTTCAGTTGCTGCAGGTCTACAAGGAGGCTGAGGATGGAATCTGTAACAAAGACATTGACTGACCCTGATTATGTTACAGCCTATTTCGTATTTGTTCACAGGTAGCACATCTTGCCTTGAAAGCCAGAATTTCAGAACCGATGGGGGACTGAGGGTAGCCCATTTCCTCTGCTGCTTCGGTGGGGCAGATCCTCATCCTCTGTGTGTTTCTTACGGTGGCTTTCTAAGACAGTGGCTGCTCTGGGGCTCTGATCAAGGCAAAAAAGCAACCAAAGTCCTTCTGGAGTATTTGTGAGACTGGCTTTGGAAAGTGTTAATTAAATCCCTGCCCTTTTTGTAGGAAAGATTGGTTGAACACAGCTGCAAGTTCACCACCATGTATATGACCCAGGTGCCATGAACCTTCGTAGGTGCTCCTCTGAAGCCCTGTGGTGTTTTCCCATTGGTGGTTCCTAGATGCTTAAAGAGGAAGAAGGGCTAGAGGGGCTCAGGTTCTGACGTAGCAAACTGATGCTTTTTGAGTCTGAATGCAGTCGTCTCTCTTACAGCTCGTTCATCCTTTCTGCCAGTCTCCTCACACTTGGCAGACCATGAACATCAGCAAGAGAACAAGGTGCTAATCCTCTTCTGTAACTTGGTGGGGTCAGGACAACAGGCTAGCAGGTATGTTTTAGCTTCATCCTTTCATGATTTTTAAAAAATGTTATATCTGAGATTTGTTGACGTGTACTTGGGATTCTGGTGAAATGAAACATGTATTCCTGGGTGCGGGCAGTGGTGGTTCCGCGGTGGAATTCTTGCTTCCGTGGGGGAGACCTGTGTTCAGTTCCCGGCCAGTGAACCTCATGCACAGCCACCAGCCATTGTCATGGGTGGCTCACGTGTCGCTTTAATGTCGAACAGGCTTCCAGATTCAGACAGACTGGAAAACGAGCCTGCTGATCTAGTTCTGAAAATCAGCCAGTGAAAACAATATGGATCACAGGGTGTGAACTGCTGTTGGTCATGAGGACAGCACAGCGCAGCATTTTGTTCTGTTGTGCATGGGGTTATCATGAATTAGGAGCCTATTTAATGGCAGCTAGTAACAACAACCCAGCCAGAAGAGCAGGAGAAAGGGGATTAAAAGACAGGAAGCCAGACAGAGGAACAGTCAGCCACAGGGACCCA